AAAGAAAGAAAGGAAATAGGTAAAATAATATATGAACAAAATAAGAATATCAACAAAGAAATAGAAATGATAAAAAGGATCAAACAGAAATTATGGTGAAGAAAAATAAAATAACAAATTTGAAAAATCCAAAAGAGAGGTTCAATAGGAGATCTGAACAAAAACGAATCAGGTGGGTATAGTACAGTAAGAAATTTTGTGTGCAACACCACGTTCACATAACTCTTATTACAGTATATTGTGATAATTGTTCTAATTTTATTATTTATTGTTGTTAATCGCTTACTATGCCTAATTTATAAATTAAAGTTTATCACAGATATGCATGTATAGGAAAAACATAGTATATATAGGGTTCAGTACTATCCAAGGTTTCAGATATCCACTGGGGTTCTTCAAACATATCCCGCATTGATAAGGGGGGACTACTTTACACTAACAAAAAAAAAGAAGAAAAAACATATGAACATCTAAATCAATGCAGAAAAAACTGACAAAATTTAGCACCCTTCGATGATAAAAACAAAACAAAAAAACACTCGACTAACAAGGAATAGAAGAAAATTACCACAACATAAAAAGGTCATATAAAAACCCCCCACAGATAACATCATATTCAATAATGGTAAAACACTGACAAATTTTCCTCTAAGATCAGGAATAAATCAAGGATGACTGCTTTCACCAGTTGTATTTATTATAATACTGGGAGTCCTAGTCAGAGCATTTAGGAAAAAATTAAAAGACATGCAAATTAAAAAGGAAGAATTAAAATGATCTCTGTTCATAGAGAACAGAATCTTATATCTGAAAAACCTTAAAAATTACACACACACACACACACACACACATTAAAAGAGACAAATTCAGCAAAGTTACAAGATATAAAACCAATATACAAACATCATTTGGTTTCTATATATACATTAACAATGAGGAATCCACAAAGGAGATTAAAAAAACAATTCAATTTACAATAGTTTCAAGAGGAATAAAACACACAGAACCAACTTAACCAATGAAGTGAAAGATTTGCACACTAAAACCTACAGTATGTTGCTGAAAGAAATTTAAAATGACACAAATAAATGGAAAGACACCCTGTGTTCATGTACCAGAAGACTTAATTGTTAACCTACTACTGTAATCTACAAATTCAATGCAATCCCTATCAAAACACCAATGGCATTTTTTGTAGAAACAGAAAATCTATCCTAAAATTCATATGGAATTTCAAGGAGCCTCAAAGAGCCAAACCTCCTCATTTCAAAACTCAATACAAAGCTATGGTAATCAAAACTGTGGTTCTGATATAAAGACATACATATAGATTAATGAAAAATAGTAAGAGCCTAGAAATAAACTCTTGCATTTATGGTCTATGATTTTCAACATGTGTATAAAGACCAACAACCTAGGGGAAAGGCTAGTCTTTTCAACAAACCGTGTGGAAAAACTGGATTCCACCTCAACAATGTAAAGCCGGACCCTTACTTTACACTATATACAGAATTTAACACCAAATGGATCAAATTCCTAAACATAAGAGCTAAAACTATAAAACTCTTAGAAGAAAACACAGGGCAAAAACTTCATGATACTGGATTTTGCAATTTCTTGGATATGACACCAAAAACACATGCAACACAAGAAAAAATAAATACCTTGGACTTCATAAAAATTAGAAATGTTTGTGCATATTAAAGGACACTATCAACAAAGTAAAAGGTAACCCACAGGGCCGGACAAGTGGCGCAGTTGGTTAAGAGCTCCCTCAAGAATGCGAGCTCTGAGCAACAGCAGTTCGATTCCCAGCCCAAGCTGAGTTGCTGTGGAGCTGCCAACAGGTGACAGGATGGCTCAGCTAAAAAAAAAAAAAGGCAACCCACAGAATAGAAAAAAAATATTTGTGCATCATATATATGATAAGGGATTGATATTAAGAATACATAAAGAAATTCTACAATCCGACAACAACAAAAAGCCAACAATCCACTTAGAGACTAGGCAAAGAACTTAAAATAGGTATTTATCCAAAGAAGATATACAAATGGCCAAAAAGAACAGAAAAATATAATTAACATCACTAATCATTAGGAAAATGCAAATCAAAACCACATACACACATTAGGATGGCTATCAAAAAAAAAAAGAAAAAGAAAAGAACAAGTATTGACTAGGATGTGGAGAAACTGGAAACCTTGTGAACTGTATTTGAAAATGTAGAATGGTACAGCTGCTGTAGAAAACACTATGGTTGTTCCTCAAAAAATTAAAAACATTATGTGATCTTCCAGCAATTCCTCCTTAGGGGATATACCCAAAACAATTGAAACTATTGTCTCAAAGAGACATCTGTACACCATGTTCATAGCAGCATTATTCCCAATACCTGAAGTGTGGAAGCAACCCAATTGTCAATCAATAGATAAATGGATAAGCAAAATGTGATGTCTGCATATAATTCAATATTATTCAGCCTTAATAACGAAAAAGTTTTGACATGCTACAACATAGATGAACTTTACAGACTATGCTAAGTGAAATAAGACAGTCACAAAAGGACAAATATTGTATCACTCCATTTACATGAAATATCTAGAGTAAGAAAACTCTAGAGACAAAGGACAATAGTGGTTTTCAGGGGCTGAGGGAGGGGAAAATTGGGAGTTAGTATTTAACGGGTACAGAGTTTTAGCTGAAGATGAAAAGGTTCTACAAATGGATGGTAATGATAGCTACACAACACTGTAAACATAGTTAACATACAGTTCGAAATTGTTAAAATGGTAAGTTTTGTGTTATATATATTTTGTCACACACACACACACACACAAAAAAAACCACAAAAGAAATACCTAGAACTGAGGGATATTTTCTCAGATTGAAAAGCCACAATAAATTGAATGGAAAGAAAATTCCCACTAGCAAACAAACAAGTATCTATGAGACAAATCATTGTGAAATTGCAGAACACCTGTAATAAAAGAGAAAATGCTAGAAGCTTCCAGTTGCACTGGAAAAACAATAAACAGAAGTTCATATACATCAACTAAGAACTAAAAGGCAATGGACTTCTCAAAGGTAACACTAGAAGCTGGAAGACAATAAAGCAATTCTGAAAAAATTCTGAAAGAAGTTCTACACAGTAAAATCATCCAAATATTAAATGTAGCATAAAGATGTTTAGGCTTTCAAGGTTTTAAACAATTTACCTCCCATGTATAATTTCTCAGTAAACTACTGAAGAAAACTGCACTAAAATAAGAAAATAAACCAAGAAAGAACATGATACAGAATCCTGGAAATAATGGTCTCAATACAGCATCGAGACAAAAGAAATCTCAAGATCACAGTTGAAGAAATTATAGCTGCTAACAGCAGATTTAGAGAGGACGCAGTCCTGAATAAATCAGCAAAATGAAGGGCTCAAGCAGAAATATCTTGGAAAAAAAAATACACACACACACACACACACACACACACACACACACACACACACACACGCGCGCGCACGCGCGCGCTTAGGGATTGTAGTGGTTCGAATGGTATGAGGTTTTCAAGCAATTTTTCAAAAAATAGTATAAGAAAGCAAAAATATTCCTAGTATCCTGTGTGGCTCAGCTGTGAGTCGTATTTACATAGTCATAATTATTAAAACATTAAGCATTAGTTAACCTCCAAATAATGATAATATAATTCTACTGGGATAATAGAGGGGATATGTAAGTATATTAGGAAGGATTTACAAGAGAATTAAATCTCTATATTTCACCAGTGGAAACTTTTAGATACTATCTAAAATTGAAAGAAAGTTTAGCAAAATAAACATGTTATTTGGAAACATAAAAGTAAACAGAAGAGTCATCTATAATTATTAAATAATATCTCCTTGGAGTCGCAGGAAGAATGAATTGGGAGTATGGAGCATGGCACTACTATTTTTCCTTCTATTTTGGTGTATAAGCCTAGGAATTGAATAGCTGGATAAAAATAAAATTGCTTTTAAATAAAAGATACAGAGCTTTGTGAAATATATAGTTCATGAAACTAATGGAAAACCGATGAAATAAAAAACAAAGCCACTGACAGATGAGGATCTAGCGGAGTTAGATCAGTTGATATACAAAGAAAAAATCGGCAAGGATAAAGACACCACCATGAGTTTTTAAAAAGAGAAAGCCTTGAGGATTTAAGAATTAAAAATCTGGAGGGAGTAAAGTTAGGAAGTTGCTGTTCAATGGGTATAAACTTTCATTTACACAAGAAGGAAAAATTATAGAGATGTGCTGTACAACATTGTGCCTATAGTTAACAATACTGTATTATACAGTTAAAAATCTGGTAAGAGGATAGATAGGTCTCATGTTAAATGTTCTTAGTGCAATTATTTTTAAAAAGCTTAAGAGAAACTCTTGATAAAATTTATGAAACCTTGAAATGTTTTTACAAAAATGACTTTATAATTCTTCTGTGAATGACAGAGGTAAGGACAAAAATATCATCTCATCGTAATATAATTTTATCAGAAAAAGTTATGCAAAAACAAAATAAAAACAAGTACACACTTGATAACCAAAATTTATTAATAATAAGATCAAGTGTATTTTTATGTAACAAAAATAATTATGTTCAAAGCCTAAAGAAAATTTAATATCATTATTTAATTGAAATAATTAAATTGATCACATACTAGACAGATTCCTGAAAAAGGTACCATGCTAACATAACTTTATAGTAACAAAGTTGCTAACACATATTTCTCCTAATTACCAATTTCTATACAAAATTAGACCCTTGATACACATGAAATAACTTTGTGAATATGTATATTTATAAAATGTTGAGTGAGGTATGGATATTTTATCTAGAATGTTCAACATATATTTCATGCAGTCATATTTGTAGTTCAAAATTAACATGTCCAATTTCTACTGAATTTAATTACTCTGCATCAAAATCTATTCACTAATTATAGTTTAAAAATTCATATAACTAACCTTGAATGAGATGTCTTGATTTTTTTGATTTTATGCCAATATCTTTTGTTTCTAATTCATATGCAATAGAAGAAACATGCTTTCTCTGTTCACTAAAATTTTCTAAATCAACAGGAGAATGTATCTTCTGTGGAAACAAAATAAAAGCAATGGCCCCAATGATAATATTTCTTATATATGCTTTAGAATTCTCAAAGAATTCTCACATGTATTATACATCATGATTGATTTTCATTTTAAAAACAACTAAAACCTGTGGGATAGGCAGAATTAGGAAAAAAAGAGTTCCACTATGTGTGATTTTGATAAATTGTTCTTCTATTAATAGTTAATGATATACTTTGGACAATGCTCTAAGAGACAGTAAGCGAAAGGTGAACCTGTCGGGGGCTGCCTCGGCTGAAGGAATGAAGGGGGAGGAGAAATAAGGAATTAACCAAGAGAAGTGTTTAATATTTCGTGTTGCCCAGAAAGCCTGAAGGAAGATTCAGAGTAAGAAAGAGGGTACAGAATTATTTTGCAAAACACTAAAAGGTAGTAACATAGGAAAAAGAGAAATGGAACCAGAGTTATCACAGGTCTTAAAAGTACAAATGGAATAAGATATGTATGGAAGGAATAACAAGTATTGGGTTGTCAGAAAAGTCATGACGTATTTTTTTCTGTTTTTCATTGCAAAAATGCGTCATGACTTTTCCGGTAACCCAATAGAATATTGAAAGCAGCTGCATGGAGAATGGGGGCACTGTCAGATGTAAACTGTACAATGTCTGTAAACTGGGAATGTTTTAATAATTAATGCTGTGGTATCTCTCTGTCTCTTCAAAATCCATCCAGGACTGGTACTGAGAATCTACCAGGTCATCAGGACTCCACGCTCTTTCAAAAGCTATCATCTCTATCCTACTACATCTACATGCCTCCTACACTCAAGGTTTACTCATGAATCAATATAGCTACTAGCACTCAAAAACACCATGTCTGTATTTTGGTCAGCAAGATGGAGGACAGAGTAAAATGAGAAAAGGGCACAGTACATGTGCCTTAAACTTTCTCAGGGGTCTTTCCAATAGCTTCTGTTTTTATCTCATTGGCCACCCATGGCTACAAAGGATAGGGTAAGAAATACAGCCTTTTGTGCTAGGTACTTTGCTGCCTGGGGTAAAATCGGGAGTCTGTTATGAAGAAAGAAGAAAAAGACAGATATTGGAAGGCAATCAACAGTCTGCCACTGCTCTGAAAAAAGTCAGAATCTTGGGAGGGTATATATGTTTGTATTTTGAGAAACCTTCTCATGATATTATGCTTTCCTTGATGAGAACCACTGGTCTAAATTCTGAAGACTAACGAATATATATATATATATATATATATATATATATATATATTTGAATATAACACACACACACACACACACACACACACACACACACACACGGTGCCAAAAAAAACGTATACACATTTTTAAAAAGGAAAAAAACTATTAAAATTACGCTGATGGTAACCACTTTGAGCACCTCTTATAATTTCAGAAGTCAAACATGACTTGTATTTATCTTTTGTTATTGGTATATATTGAGTATTACAATTTTAATATAGGTTTTCCTTGCTTAAAATGTGTATACATTTTTTTGGCACCCTCTGTATATATCTTCATATAGATATACCTGAGATGTTTGTTTTTGTATATTTGTTTATGAAATACTTGCAAAGTACTTATCATTTGCCATTGTTTTAAAGTTCTTTACATATATTAATTTATATAATATCCATAACAACCATGCTCTTTCACCCTGGAAAATCTCACAGACATCACATGCTCAAGAGAAATGAACTCATATCTTTCCTCCAAACCTATTAATACTTACTTCTAGTTTTGGTGAATAGCACTACTTCATCCAAGGAAAGGGAATTCACATAAACTCTCTAATACGTGTCACCTGATAGAATTTTGAAATAGAGAGCCCACTGTCATATTCCCCCTATGTTGACCTGTGCACTTATACAAACACCCTTTAGTCTACAATTTAGCAGAGACATCTGGATATACTCATATATGTCTTGGTCCCCTGCATTTACAATTTTCTTATCAAATTCCTATCACCCACAATAGAAATATAATTAATTAAATATCTTTGAGTTTCCATCTATTAAATTTTACATGTGATGCTCTCCAATTTATTTATTGAAAACAATGTGTCTCTATGCAGTGACTCATTGTGCAATAATTTTTTTTAATGTTCATGACAGGTACTAACTGGAACTAGAATAAATCTGTTTTCAATCTTCAGGAAAAAAATTTCTCACTAATCAATTCTTACACAACACAATTTCTTTTAAGTATTTACGTGACCAAAATACTACTTTTTGCCAGAAAAACAAATAAGCAGTTACATATTCTCTTACATAGTCTCTTTATAGTTAGAAATTATTTTCTTAAGGTTGTCAAGAAAAATTATAATATAATAATATACAACATCAACACATTAACAAAATATGACTTCAAATAATGTTGCTTCTATTTTCATCTGGGTTCAATTCTTTCTATTTAGCAAAGTATGACAAAAAAATGTAGACAACTGTTTTGTAACCAAATCTGTAGCAATCAATTCCAACTGCTTTTTCAACCTCAAATTTGCCCATCAATCCTCTTCAACTTGTACCACCTTAACACTTCAAATTACATCATCATTCTTCTATCTTCTTACTTCTATGAATTTTGCTCTCTTTTGGTCATTTATCTCTGTCTCTCCCTCCTAACAATGCAATTCATCATATGTTAAGAATCAGCTCAAATTTTATTTCAACCATAGCAATAAATCCTTTTTTTCCTTCTAGATCTCACACTTACATTCTATCCATAAGAAAATAATTAAAGTGGAAGTAAAGATATGTAAATGATTGTTTTTACTAGTACTTATTCCTTTACCTTTCCCTAATAAAATAAGAAAATTAAAGCAAAAAGTATGTATCTATCTGTCAAATCTGAGTATCCAATCTCTGTCACAAATAAAGTTAATTTATAAAATCATGAAATTTAAAAGTCCTGAAATTAAATAAATAACTAGTTAGTTGCTTTCAGGAACAGATTTTCTTTAGTTCTCCCACTTACCCTTTTTCTTATATCTACATGTTACCATTTGTTATAATTTAAAATAAACTTCTCTTCCTTGGCTTTTATAAAAGAAGAACTCATAACAAAGGGTGCATATGTGCAGTGAAACAAATCTATGGGAAGATGATCAGAGTTTAAAGCCCTATCTGAAGGTTTACACAGGCTGCCAACATACATAAAATGGGGTTTTCTGTTATATGTACTGCAAGAAGGAAAAGGAAGGATATGCCCACTTTTTGATTGATTTTTGAAATCATGGAGAAGGAAAAATTATCAGAAGGCTGGGGATAATCTAATAAATATCTTGTTTTCAATAACAGAAAGTATATTCCATTAATTAAAGTACCTTAAATCTAACACTAATCCTCAATAATTTTAGAAAATATTTTAAGGAAGTTAGTATCTAGAAAAGGAGTCATCACCAAAGAGCAGTATGACAACACACTAAATACATCAGACATAATAGCATTTTTAATAGGGTCAAAATTAATTCATGTTCAAATATCCTTGATATGATAAACCTGCATTTCAGGAATATTTGGCAAATGCTTTTACTCTTTACGAAAAGACAGTACAATTAGGTGGAGGTTAGAGATGTTGAGTTATCACATGGAAAAGAGTAAGGGTAATAAAATGATGCCAACCTATATGTGGACTTGTTCTTAGTCCTATCCTGATCAATATTTATATGAATGATTTGAATAAAAACATAAACAAAATGCTTATCAAATTTTCATGCGAAGTAGGTACTAAAAGAAAAAAATCAGTTAACACCAGAGAGAAGTTTAAAACATTATCAATAGATTGAAGTATTAGGTCAAGTTAAACAAATGACGTTTAATAGGAATAAATATTGCAGTGGGCAAAATTCATTTAATTACTGCAATACACAATGTAATTTTAAAACCTGGGTGATAAGAGACTAAGATATTTAGTTAAGAATAAGTTAGTTACAAGTTCATTGTGTGATGACCTCGTGCTAAGCTGTATTAAGCATTTCATCAAGTGTGGGAAATGAGTTTTACCATATTCATTTCTGATCAGAACTATAACTGAAACACTGTATCAGATCAGGGCAACACATTTTCAAATGATTATTGATAACCTGGAACATGAAAAGGCAGCAGCCTACATACTGAACTATTTTTAAAGTCGTTATAAATAAGCCATGACTAACTCCAGAATAGAAATGAGGTAACAAAGAGAGATTCAGGCTTCTCACCTCCTCCAATTTCCATCTTACTTATCTTGTAAAATGATACCATTCTCTTGTTCAAACCATAAAATCATTGAATTTGTTCTGTAATTTAACCTTTTTCTGAAACCCTCAATCTAAACCATTGGCAAATTTTGGCAATTCTGTCTCCTAAATACATGCATTTCAAATCTGTTCACTTCTCTCCATTTTCACTTTACTTCTCTAGTCTAAGCTATCATCATCCCTTCCAACCACAAATAGAGCCTTCACCCTGGCTCTTACAAGACATTTACATTTGTCAAAAGGTAAATCTGATTATATTTTCCCTTTAGCTTTAAAACCCCTGTTGGCTGTCCAAGATGTTCAGTCCTTACTGCGAGCTACAAAAAAACAGCAAAATATGGCCCTTGACCACACAGCCAAATCCATCTCACTCTACTTGACTTTGCTCATTAGACCCTGGCCACACTGAATTTCACTGAAACCCTTGAACCCAACTCAAATAAAAGAAGCAATCACATGCCTTAGGTCCTTGTGCAATCTCTTCCCTCTGCCTAGAACTCTCTCCTTCACAGACTCTGCAAGGATAACTTCTCATCCTTCAGGTCTTAACGTTCCATATTATCTCTTCAGAAAAACATTCTTCCTACTATTCTCTACCTCAGCATTCTATGTATTTCATGCATAACATTTATCACAACTTTGTTGTTTACTTGGTTTACACTTGGGTTTTTCATTTTATTTTGTTTTTTATTATTATTTTTAATCTAGTCCACAAGGGAGAGGACTTTGCTTGCCTTGTTTACTCGGTACC